AGAGTATGGGAGTGTGTTAGCGGAGGGGTAACTCGAGCGTGGTATTGTTTTTTATCTTTATCTTTATCTTTACACTCAAGGTGTACCATTTAAAGTATGAGAACTGTTAGCGTGGGGCCAGTCGTCCTAGACATTCAAAAACAACAAAGAAAGCTCGTACTTCGATGAGTTAAGGAAAAGAAAGTACGGGATAATGTACTCACAACAGCGAAAAAAGATGATTCAAATGCGAGTAAATTGTACGACTATGAATTGGAATGCCAGGTGCATAGCAGTGAGGACTGCTATCGCTCAAAGATAATCGAAGCGGTTCAAGCACGGGTATTGGTTTAGCTAGGTATCCACCAACCTAAGGGTTGAGCCAGACTTCGCGGGGAAGCGGCGTACGCGGCGTACGCAGCGTACTCTCGGTATATTTCATCATAGGAGCATACGCGGCGTACGCTGCGTACGTCGCGTACGCCGCGCAGTCTGGCCCAACCCCAACTCCCCAAGCCTTGAACAGACCTGACAAATTTCAAGTAGATGTCCTTGATAAAAAAGATCCTCAATCAATATCGTTGGGGAAAAATAAAAAGCAAAAAATGCGAGGGAGCTTACTACACAGTCTAATAGTTTTGATGATGTGACAAGTTAACGCACATTCGCATTTCAAACAAACAGCATTTCTCGAAACCATTTCGAAAAATCAGCTTGGCCGTATCCGTATCGATCAATACACGATGCACACAAATAAATTCTGGGCGTGGCCATGAAAAAGTGCAAAATAGACCCTTAGAAAATTGTAGGAGAGACGAAACACACTTAAATGCATAGAAAAAACAAAGAAAAAACGATTTGAATGGGTTTGATAGAATTGTCGTAAGATTGGTGGCTATCAACGCCTTTGCGACATCAGTCAGCTGTCGTACCCCATATTTGGAGCAACTTTAAAAATTTCATCAGGTTTAGTTTTCTAGAATTGAGGAGGAAAAGCTCAAAAGGATTTACTCGCCAACTCAATATACCATTTTCTGCGATACGATAGTTTTATTCTGAAAGCATGGCCCGTAGTAAAGCTCGATCACTTCAGGTGAACTGATCAACCCATCAGTTGAGCTTACGTTAAGTGAACTGATGACCGCCCACCTTCTCATGCTATAGGAATGGCAACTGAACTGATAGCTGGCCATCCGTCCAAAATAGAATAACAAATCAAAACCACACAAATGTCCCAAAATTTTCACAAGCACAGTTGAGCTAAACGTGAACTGATGTTAAACGAATGCAAATAGTGTGTAAAAGAGGAGACGCAGAAAAGACTTTCGTAAGTTGCTCCTGAGTAGCTTACGATACACATCAGCTTGCCTAACACTGCAGACAAAATCGGCGCGAAACTGCAGACATTTCCTCGACGGCGTGCTTGTGAAAATTTTGGGACATTTGTGTGGTTTTGATTTGTTATTCTGTTTTGGTCTTATGTCCTCCATCCTTGCATCTATGCAGGAACAGTTAGCAGCTAATCAAATAGAATGAACTACCTCGACAACCGTTTTTCATCCAGTTCTTCATTTTTTGTGGGTTTCATCTTGAAAGCAGAACACTGCAAGCACTGAGCGGTATTGATCAATCTCCTTTTTGCCCATATTCTATTTGGTGAAACTGAGATTGTTGATAGCAATGTGGTCACAAGTTTATGAACGGAATGTTAAGCAATCGTATAGCTCTTCTGTTGAATTACTGCCGTGTGCCACAAACCATGTGTTTCTCGTGAACAAATCATAGTCTCAGTTTGTGATCCATTTGTCGCTTCTTCTACTTTTTTTCGATCCGAGTTTGACATGGTTTAAAGTGACAGACGGTTTTACATTTTTCCCTCTCCATGCTAATGTGCGTTCAGCGTTATGATTATTTTTCGTTTTTCTAGTCCGTCGATATAATGCTTCTGAAACTTCTCTTGCACCTACCCGTTTTAATATGCACTTATACCCGAGTCTAATCGTAAGAGAAACGAGATGAAACCTTTGAAGTTCCCTTTCGCAAAATATTGATACCTTTTTTTTATCAACCTTCGTATTCGCTATGTGCGTCATTGCATCTTAAAAGCGATTCTGGACAACTAGCTTGTCGCTTAGATGCACATTCTACATCAATTTTGTTTGGCAAGTTTGCTTATTTGTTTGCCTTCTTTATGTTTTGTTTCGTGTAATATCATGCATTGCATCATGTAAGTCCTCTTTTAGCTTTTTTGTTATGAAGAACCTTCAATAACTTGCAACTATGCTCTGGTTGTAAATTCGATAAAACATGCTTAGGATGCTGACATAGCTGCCCGTGATTTGGTTTGATAAACACCGAATCAAGATGTGTGCGATATGCATCGGCTTGGTAACTATGACACCAACTAACATGAAGAGAGGAGAGAGATCTCTTCACTGGTTAGAGTTACCCCAGGTCCTTGACTACGTAAACCGTTACGCACTAAAGAAATTCAGGTGTTTTATAAATTTTCCACCTGAAAAAGTACTCTAAAAATAGGAAGATTAGATTGAAACAGCGCTCGTGAAAGTGATGTTGTTATCGAAAATTACTATTCTTTTTACTGGGTTTGTTTCGAGTTCTCAAAAAGAGGAAGCTGAAGCTAAAGGGGAGATGCCCGGACCAGAAGCAGAAAGGTCATTTACTTTGCATACAAGTGAGCATTAAAAATTTGTTCATTAAAAAGAAAATGGAAGACAGTTTCGGTAACCTTTTTTATCTATCGTTGCTGTCAAGCTTCATACATACACAACATGGACTGTCTCATCACAGAGACATGTCAATTATTTCTGTGCATGGGACCGAGTGGGTTGTGGTTCTTTCTACATTATCGCGTATATCTACAAACCTGTATCTTCTGTTCTCTGTACTCTGTTTTGTTTCACTCCGTGCTCGGCTCTGTGCATCCGTTTTGTTTTTCTACAAATAGTCTTGACATCTTTCAATACCTAAGAAATGAATGATTTCAAAATCTGCTGAGGGTCTCGGAGATTGCCTATTTTTTCAGTCATCAAATCATGGCCAAAGGTGCGTTTCGTTATTACGTGTGAAGAGTTACTAGGAAAATAGAAACTTTTAAATTTACCCTCCACTCTGAATTAGGGGTCTTGAGCTTTTGGCAGCTTATGGTATCAAGACCCTCTATCAAGCCAATCCCAAGTGCGTTGACGCGTAGAAATCGTTTCGGAACCGACATTTTGTAACTGCTGAAGAAGCAAGAGGCGACCTCAAGCCGGCACCGCCCCCTCCAATACTGCCCGCCCGCCCAAACCGAACAAGCCTGCGGGTTTTTCGGAACGGGGATTGCTAGGGTTTTTGCGGAGTCTAAAATTCGTATTTGGAATAGAAACATGAAAAGGCTCTGCAACGACCAAAACATGGAAGTCGATAAAATCTGAGTGGATGATGCCTTTAAACTGGAATTAAAGTAGCTGCATCGTTTGGGCAGAATCGTTCAATCGTAGACTTTGATACAATCCATCAAGGCCTCCTCCTCCCCCAACTAAAACAAATAAGGTACATTAAATGCACCTTGTGAGGCGCGCTGCTCAGATTCTGAACCGCAGTTTGTTAACATTGTGAGTTCAGCAGTAAAATGCCCATGCCGGATTCAATGTTTAAGTATATACTGGACCATTCCAATCATTTGAATTCCAACCATTCCATTCCATTCACGCCGATCAAAGGACCCAGCGACGCATTTATCGATTTGAGCGCGCTCTTTAGGAAACGGGGCTGCTGACGCTATTTTTGACTCTAGCAATGAGGGGAGGAGGAGATTGAAACCAAAATGTCAATATATACTAAACTTTAGGTGTAGAGTAGATTTGTGTAAAAATTTTGAAAAAATCATGTGAATGAAAGTTTTGCCAACTCAGGTTGTTTTTAGGTTGTCAAATGTCAACTTAATTTGGAAAAAAGTTGGGTTTTCATAAAATTTCGTACGTTGTTACTTACTCTTACTGCGCATATACACACCGAATCCCGCACTATTTCGTCACCTCTGCGGTGCAAACGAGCCATTTTAATATTTTCTTGGTAGCGGGAAATTTTCAAAAAAAAGTTTGCCTTAACCTTCACTCGCATAATTTTTCATTGAAACTTCTCACTTAAGCCCTGTAGGCCCGTGTGCATGCACGTACCAAGTTTCATATCATATCGTCATCTGTGCGTTGCAGATGAGTCATCTGAATTCACATCTTCGCTCACCAATTTTACAAAATTTTTGGAAAAAATTTTACACCTTCCATTCATATAAGTTTTTATAATTTTTTATACTTTGTTTCCACTAACCTTTCTTCATTCGCTTACGAAATTTTATGCCATATAGTTATGCATGCGTTGAGAACTACTCACGTACCCTGTTACTAATAGCATAGTTTGAGCGAAGTCGCGCGTGCGGCAATTGGCGACGGCGCGGTTTGACGCGCGCGAACTCCAGTGTTCGCCTGTTGAGGCACATAACATTCTAAAATACGCAGAGTAACGGCAACGGGCTCAGCTTTGCCATCATAACTATCAATTTTTCCAGAGCTCCGCCTCGGACCCCGCAAAAACGATTTCTCATTTGCTATTTTTTGCCGAAAACGATTGCCAGCTTGTCATTTGCCAACCTCGTGTCTGGCCCTGACTACAACATGCGCAGGCAGGTTTACGTTCAGTGAAAGTCTGCCAATTTAGCTGTCGTCAACGTTCTAGCAACGATAGTCTCAATAACAGGAACACGATCATCATGTAGCAAATGGACCTGAAATGTTTGCAGGCTGAACAAATCAGAAGAGATGTTATGCAATGACATACTCGCCTCACCGATAATCGGTAATCTTACCAAAGATATTAGAGGGTTGTCCTAGCACCGTTCTGGTAAAACATGCTCACGCGACAATGTTGCCGACAACATGCTGCGCGCGACAATGTTGCTGGCATTAAGTTTCACGTAACACTGCTGCATGCGACAACATGTTGCTCACATCAAGTTGCAACTACATTGTTTCTGCCAACATTTTGCACGTAACATGTGCATGTGGCAGCATGTTGTACGAGACAACCTGTTGATGACAATATGTTGGACAGCACGACGTAGCATGTGAGAACATGTTGCATGTGACAACATACGGCATCACGTATCTGGCAACCGATTGCCGCAACATGTCGCACGGGGCAACATGTTGCATGTGCCCAAATTCCACGTCCGGCCTCCGCAGCTCGTGCTGCAGAACGCAGTGAAGGGCAAAGTTATTACAAACATGCATACATGCTAAGAAGAACGTCACGAACTTCATAGCATCTTTATCATGTCCATCGCAGCGATGTCCATTCAAAAGTTCTCGGTGACGAATTCGGGGACATGGTCGTTGTTCGGGGGATGGGTCATCCAACCGCGAGGAATGGGGAACATCGACTGTCCTTTTTGCGTTTCTAGGTAGATGCCGATGTTGTAGAGAATGACGCAGGCCTTCACTACTTTCTGGAGCTTCGGAGGCTGAATGCAGGTAGTGTACAGTATGCAGGAACGCTGCTTCAGCGCTCCGAACGCCTGCTCGACGACTCGTCGAGCTTTGTCGTGCTCCCTGTTGAACTTCTTCTTCCTGACGACATTCTCTGTAGCCCGCTCTCGGAAGGACGCCATCACATACCTGGAGTTGGCAAAGCCGGCATCCCCAGGAGACGATATCCTGGGCAAGCACGACCTTCGTCGAACTCGGCAGCTGCTTCCGAATGCTGCCATATTCTGCTAGATATTCCGTTTTCGTGGTGCCTACCCGCCAATCCACAGTTGGTGTACATGAAGCGGGCCCTGGCATCCACTACCGCAGTCATATTGACTACGCAACATGCCCTTCGGCAGTAGTAGTGGTTGCCGAAGTTGATATGGCGCTGGATTCGGATGTGGCAGTCATCGACGCATCCAATGACATCTAAACAAAGCAAGTTGTTACTTGTGAATCTCGAGACTTTCGCAAGCATTAGCGCTCGTCCGACGATCAGATGCGGAGGAAGCGGATGATTGAAAGGATCCACTACCGGGTGACGACATCAGTCACAGCCTTTTGACATACCCGAAACGTCAGTTATAACAGTTTGATGACTATCGGTGGCCAGGTAACGGAGTGTGATGAGGACCTGAAGCGAACAGGCAGTAGTTATAGTGAACCTTCATAAAAAGATGTTCAAACCTGATCTTCTTTGCTGACCTCCCAAGGCTCCAGCCCTGCATTCGGCAGCAGCGGTTCGAGCATCCTCACAATCTTCTTAACATCTTTTCTGCGAAATCTATACTTCGAGCAGAAGAAGTGATCACGTGGAACACAGTGGAAGGATGGATTCGCTGATAACGGATGTTTTTCTGGCGCTGCTGACGGACATGAAGAAGAGCGAAACCATCTAAACCAATTACTCAGATATTGAACCCATTCAAATTTAGAAATCGACAACCACAATAAACTTGTTCGAGTTTTTCTATAGCGTGTGCTTACAACAAAGTCAAGTGTTGAAGCCCTTGCAAACAGAATTAAACGCGTTGTGCCACGCAAGACTCGAACCTGATATGCATGGCGCAAGTGCCGTCCTCTTCCCCACTCTACCATTTCGGGTTGCATCTAGGTATTGCGGCGACTGCTTCAGCGTTACATAACGGCATATGCGTGCATGGATCGATGGTATGAGTAAGCACATTTATAGGCTTACTCAAACACTTAAGCAGGATTACAGAACGTTTATATAACATTATAAAAAAGTGAAAAAAGTGAGTGAAAGACAAAAAAGAAACAATAAATAAAAGCGCGCAAGCAAATCAGTGCTATGTGTGGATCTTATGTTAAGACGGATGTGCCGGTCACTGCCGCAGAACTGCTTTGCCGATAAAAATCAAATTGTTTTGGCCACCGCAGAAACGGTTGCGCTGCCCCGAAACTGAACATCTTATCCTTCAAACACTACGCCAGCCTCTTCTCCAGCACTAAGGGACTCGGTTTTGTTCCGTCCATGATGGTTTCTGGAGCGTATCACAATGACTGCATGATAGGGTATGGATTTTCCGATCAATGGGTCGCCGGATGCGGGACTGAGGCGCGATGAGATCATGAAATCAATTCCGGCCCGCGTCGAGAGAAATGCCTTGATGGGGAGTTTATTACGGGTCCATAACTGAGTGTGACTGCAACTTCCGCTCATTTTTTGAATTTTTCTGTGAAATGTGCTATTTCTGCTTTCTGTATGTACGCTGTTTAATCTAAACAAATTTCGTTCAAAAGAAGCAGTCCAGTAAAAAATGTTTCGCCTGGTACTGAAGTGTTTTGAGAAGCTTTGTGTACAATAGCTCAGTGCCTTTCCTGGAATATCTATTAATGATTCATGCAACTTCAGTTTCTTGTTTAAATTGTAATCTTCTTGGTGTCATACTTGCAATAATAATATTAGGCTGGCACGAAAGTTCTTGCGTAATTCAAACAAAATTCAATAACTTCCCAAAAACTAAACCTAAATTCACATTCTTGTATGCGAAAAATTAGAAGTCTTAGGCTTCATGATGGGTGTTTAAGCATAAGATTCGGTGAGCTGGACATCAAGAACGAAGCTCTCGAATATGGGGCTTCAAAATTTGCAATTTTGAGTTTGGTGCCAGAAAATCGCAGAGTGCCGCTAGCTAGCCGAAAAAAATTCTGTAGAATTTACTTACACAACGAAAGTCCATACGTTATTTTAGCAGTCTTTGATCTCGCATGGAAATGCGAAAACAAAGAATTTGTGAAATTTCTCATTTCACAGGACAAATTTCCTCATCGCTCTAATTTTTCCACAGAAACACAGTTTGCAACCAGAAATTAGACATAGTGCCTATTTAGAGCCTTGCGACGTTTTCTCGGTTGTAAAAAAGTGTTTTCGCCGGAAAACTGCGGACTGAGGGGATTTTTTCCGCAAATTGACATATTTCACGAATTTTTTGTTTTTCCTTCATCGTGCAAGATCAAAGCCTTCTAAAGTAACATATGGACTTTTGTGGTGTAAGTAAATTCTACACATTTTTTTTCGGCTAGCTAACGGCCCTCTGCGATTTCCTGGCACCATCAAAATCGCAGAATTTGAAGCCCCATATTCGAGAGCTTCGTTCTTGATGTCCTGCTCACCGAATCTTACGCTTAAACATCCATCATGAAGCCTGAGACTTCTAATATTTTTCGCATACAAGATTGTGAATTTAGGTTTAGTCTTTGGGAAGTCATTGAGTTTTGTTTGAATTACGCAAGAACTTTCGTGCCAACCTAATATATTCTGCTTTCTAAACTCCATAATAGCGTTCTTTCTGCAATCATGATTTGCGTTTTAGGCGGACAGATTCCAAAAGAATTTTCTACGGTTGAAGTATGGTTTCAGAAGTGAATGCTAACAGATCTTCCTGTCAGTACCCTGCTAATAGCAAGTATACGAACACTCTGGAATGATTCTGTTTGGTTAGATTTGTTAATCACCGAAACAATCATGCTATGATTGTATTCCGTTTTTAGAATGCGAGAAATAAACTTTGAATAATTTGAGGAATCTGGTGTGTTGTATATCGTTTTTTCAAATGCACAGAAAAAATTTGATCATATGCTTACACGTGGGCACTTTTTATTTATTTTACTTGTGCAGAAATCCATCACTGGCTTGTTTTGGCTTTACAAAAACTGAAAGATCGTTATAATTCGTATAATTTATTTTAGTTTCCGATATCGACCACCAACCCACCCAACCCTCAAAAAGCTACTCTGCCGGTAATTTAATTAAGTTTGTGTGATCAATATGAATTTGAATGCATTTCAAAGTTCGTACCTTTTTTTCACAGCTCAATCCGCTGTATGTCATCCACTTTCAACCTGTTTAATTCAGTATCAGATCCCCCTTGAGATTCCATGTACGGAAAGTATGTTAAGAACTATCATAATCATTACTTAACGACAGAGCACAGGGGCTAGCATCCGATGCCAACAACGTCTAATGCAGAATTGTCCAAATCCCTTTCTTTATTTATGCACATGTATTTCCACCTCCACAGGTTAGAGACAACTTATGACCATCAACGGTTTCATGGCTCGGCTAAGTTAGATCTTTTTTTCTGCTTGTAACGTTTATCACGACATCAAGCCAAGCTAAGCTGGGTTAGTTAATTGCATCATTTTTATCTTTTCTTTGCCTTCAACTCTAGAAAACTGAACCTGAACCAGGTCACAAATTAATACCTTCCCAATTATGCAAGAGCAATTCCTAAAAACGGCGATAGTTCTCTATCAAAACGATTCTTCAAATAATCAGCATTATTAGTCACTGTAGAAATGTACTGTTTCGCAAATACTTGCAAGAAGCACTCTGGAGACTAAAAACAACTTTTGAAAAAAAGATGAGAACCTATTGCAGGGTAAACCAAATTGCGTCACTTTTGTTGCTTTTCGGATAAGTTCTCGTTCATTTATATGAGCTGCCGAAAGTAACAGTTTGTTGAAAAGAAATGTTCGTTGAAAATTAGGAATTGCAGCCAGCTAATCGAGCATGAAAAGTAAAAAGATTCTGACGCGCTATGGAAGATGTTTTAAAAAGTAGGACAAATTGAGCCAGTAAGACAAGGCCGAAATTTTGAGGAAAATAAAAAGGGATTGGGAAAATTTTTTGCAGGAAAATTGCAAGGAAACTGTGAATATCAACTTCTTAAGGCAAAAAGAGAAGCGCTAGACTTAAGTTTGACATCGAAACTGAGTTGTTTGATTTTTTCTAAGAGCGTGACGTGATGTATGAAGCCACGGTTTTTGATAAATCATCGAAAAAAAATAATGGTGATTTATGAGGAAGACGTGGTAATTTTGTGGGGTTACAAAGGAAATAGTAGATATTTTGATGAAAATATGGCACTAAAGACTAAATGAGGGAAAATTCAACACAAATTTTTTATTGGAAGCGGAGTCAAAATTCAGATAAGGCAGAAAACGAGCAATTGCCATGAACAAAAAGTGAGCAGTAGTAAAGAGGATTGTGGCAGGGACACCAGACTGGAAACACTACTAACTTTTGGTTAAGGATCAAACAGAGACTTATGGCCTTTATGTGAAGGCAGTTCAACTGCGCCGCAAATTGGCTGGAAATTTTTCTTCCTTGAAAATTTACTAATTACTCATCTGTACTACCCGCTTAATCCAGTGATTTTTCACGAAGGTTACGAAGAGGCAGAAGTTTCTTACATGCGTATGACAACAATGAGCACATACAATTACATATGTATATGCACGACCAGCTGGCTTACTCGGCTCGGCCCGGCCCTGTCTCCAACTCCCTACTCCCGCTGTGTTCGTTATCAGCATGCTCACTTATCCCTGTGCGAATTTCCAGCCCCGTAGTTCAAACTTAGTAAAAAATCGATAAAACCGATAACACTACTAACGGATATTTCTAGGAGCTAATATAGTGTTCGTAATCAGCATGCTCGATTACTTCCCTATGCCAACTCCCAGCCCCGTAGATCAAACTTTAGAAAACGATAAAAATCGATAAAGTCGATATCGATCGATGATGGAAAGTGGCCTATCACACTCGCCCGGCCTCGAAATGTATGTGTGCCAAGTTTGGTCCGGATCGGTTCAGAAATGGAATTTTCTATTCGGAACATACGTACACACATACATACATACATACAGCCTTTTTCAACCCAAAATAAGCGAAATATTCCAAGGTGGAGCAGCGCGTCCACACGGCCACCGGCCGGGTGATCGAAAGGCGCGCGTTTCGGCAGTGGTTCGAACTGAAATGGTACTTCACAAAAGCACTGTCTCCAGGCTCTAAATTTTCGGTCAGTATATAAGAAAGTCTGACGGAGAATGGTGTAGCTGAAATCTAGAAGGAACGACAAATTCAAACTTTTTGCATGCTTTCGTCAGTTATTGGCAACCGATAAATACGCACCTTTCGACCGTCTCCCGCCACTGGCCAGCGAGATAGATTAAAGCGAAGAGATTCCGACTGCAAAGGGGTGCGAATCGTTGCAAAGCGATTCGCACCCCTTTGCAGTCGGGGTCTTTTCGCTTTATTCCGTCAATCCATTTCCCGCCTAAACTGAGTTGAAACTTACTATACAGACATATAGACGGACAAACAAACATTCAGCCTTATATATAAGATTAAATGAATCTTAGGTGGGATCTTTCATGCATCATATTTGAGCAAGTTTTGCACTATATAGCATTCTTCCCTAAAAAAATCGCGCTACGGAATCAAC